ATAGTAGGCGACACACCCCTAATGTAGCCAGTCCTCCAAGAGCTTACAGTAGCCCCTGTAAGAAGAGCTCTGTAAGCTGTTGGAGGATTGGCTACATTAGGGGTGTGTCGCCTAATATGCAAAGGAGTTCCTGCTACAAAAAGAGCCCTGCGGCTTCGCCTACTGCAGCTTCAGTTTGTGTCTCTGCTCTCTCTCCTGGCAGCCTGTCTGTTCTGCTTCTTCACAGGCCCCCCTCGAGAGATGTCCGGCCTGTGCGGGCCACCCTCCGCTGTCTCGCATCGGCGCATCATGGAGCTGTCGTCCGGTGACCTGCCCTCCTTGCCCGTACCAGGGGAGCGCCGCGGAAGCACCACCAGCACCGTCAGTTCAGCCTACACCGTCAGCCGCCGTTCCTCCGTGGTGTCTCCGTATCTGCCGGGAGGGGGAGCCCCCAACGGGCTAGGCCCCCCCGATGGGTATGACGCCATCTCTCCCGATGCCTCCAGGCGCTCCAGCAACGCCAGCCACTGCGGGGGTCTTCCGGGGCTGGGGAACCTAACGCCAGCCCAGCAGTACCGTCTCAAGGCCAAGTATGCTGCAGCAACAGGCGGGCTGCCTCCGACTCCGCTACCCAACATGGAAAGGGCGTGTCAGCCGGGCTTCATTGGAGAGTATTCGGGCTCCGCCCCCCCTCCTTTCATGCGGAGGCACAGCGCCAATGAGTACCACAGTTACAGCACTGGCATCCTCCACCCCCACCTAGCGCCGAATCACAACACCCGCCGGGCCAGCGATCCCTCTCAGACGGTGGGTGAGGCGCACCCGGTTCCCAGAGTGCAACGCTTCAAAAGTCTCAGCAACATGAGCCCGGCCGGCATGGGCAGAGGAAGCGGGCAGCCTGTCGGGGGCTCCGACGCCAACCTGCAGCGCCACCTCTTCTCCCCAAGGCCGCCGAGCATTAGCGAAAATGTCTTTTTGGAGAGCGCGGCCATGGAGAGCGGCGGCCTGGCCGGAGAGCCAGAACTGCTCGAGATAGAACCATACCTCGGCTACCCGGAACAAAACTACCCGTGCCAAACGGTGAGCATGGAACTCCAAAGTGACGCGGCCCTTAGGGGCACCCCCCGGGCGATGGCTGACTTGCAGATAAGTCCGGGCAGCCACGGGCAGCTCGAGGGTAGCTTTGAGCAGCCGGATTACGTCCAGCCTCCCTGCCAGATGAACCCAGCGTTCCACCCGGCACGGCAGTGGGATGGCAACAGCTCAGGGATGAATCCCCTGCCCCCTGCGGGCATGGTGCAGTGCCACTCTACCCAGTTCCCGGTCCCCGATGCCAAGCACATGGGCGTGGAGCCGGGCAGTGAAGGACAGCGGGGGGCGTTCCAGTTCGGCCAGCTGCACATCAAGGCCGAGCAGCAGTTCCCAGCGGCCACCCCGGCCCTCACCTCTTGCCAAGGGATGAAGCACCTGCCTTTCGGCCAAGCGCAGCCGATGTGTGGAGGCGGCGAGTACCCGCCGGAGAGCCAGCAGGGCCCTTGCTTCGGCATGGGGCAAGCCCCGGGCAGGAGAACCCAGACCCCGATGCTGCACGTGAAGGAGATGATGGTGCGGAGTTACGTGCAGTCGCAGCAAGCTCTGATGTGGGGCGAGCCGCAACCGGGCGGCGATGTCCTAATGGGCGTGGACGGGATGGAGGGCGGGCAGTGCCAGCCGTACCCCGGCCCCAAGTACTCCAACTACCCCACCAGGCCCCCCCAAGTGATGGATAACAAAGCATCTTCCGGTCCCAGCAGCCAGTGTTACAACCCGGGGATGGTCCCGCACCCGCCCGGTGGACCCAAGCCACTGAGTCGGCAGAGCAGCTTGAGCTACCAAGGGAGCCCCTCTTGCGAACCCTCCAGCGACGCCAGCCCCCGCCGGATGATGCGCTTGCCCCCTCTCCATGGCCCCGAGGAGGTGTGTTACTCCAGCCAGGTGCACATGCAGCTGGGCAAAGGTGCCGGGCAGAAGCTGATGGGCGCCCACCAAAGGCGTAACCCCCCGTCCAGCTGCGTGGCCGAGGATCCGGGGGGGGCCTTCGCCCCTGGGCTGGAGGGCCTGAAGCCAGACTCTTTCTCTTACCTGCCGGAGGAACAGGTGTCCAACAGCCTGGACACTCTGGACTTGGAGAACACCCACTTGGACTTCACGGCCATCTTGGACGAAGCCGAGGCCATCTGCCCCAGTCCCCCGCCTGGCGTCCCGGCCAACATGGCCGTGGGGGATATGAGCTCCATGCTGAACTCCCTGGCGGGGGAGAACCAGTTCCTTAACACCCTGTCCTAGTAGGGGTGGCGGCCCTATGGCTGTGGTGATGACAGGGTTTCTCTTCTAACTGAAACCAGACTGGTACGAGAAGTAACAAAGGTAGCTCCTACCGGGCTGGACTCAATAACCGATGGTTGGGGATTGGGGGGGCGGGGGTCTCTGCGGAGAAAAAAACCCAACCCCAGCTGGTGACTTTCAGGGCAGCTCTTGGTACCAAACTGCATCTGCTGTGCAGACTCAGACCTCATGAATGAGCTTTGGGCTTCAGGAAGGGGTTGGGCAGATGGTGATGGATGAAGGATGGGAATGGGCTGGAGAGGAAGTCGAGTCATTCCGTCCACCCTCTCAGCTGGTGGAGCAAACTCAGGAGCTCCTGATGTCTCCTGTTCTCCCCACACAAAGGACCGCACTGAAACCAGCCCTCTTGGTAAGCCTCGTTCCGAAGTGCCTCTTCCCCAGGGCCCTCTGCCTGTGAGAGGGCCGCCCCACAGCTTGAGGGTAACTCTGAGCCTGCAGCCCACTGTTCCAGAGTCTTTTGACACGGCAGCCTATCTAGGGTCCTTTTCGATCACACACACGTTTTTCTCCACCCCGTGCAGAAAAGCTTTTTTGGGCTGATGTCCGTCACGCCTGGATTTTGTAGGCCGAGAGGCCTGGGTTTAAGCTGGCGAGGATCTCGACTCCTGTTTGTGGGTGCTTCCTGCAAGATCCGTGGGAATGGCAGGTGGGGTCTTCGGAGAATGCGAGGGTTGCCCCTGCCTCTTTTGCTCCAGGCTGCTCCTGCTGTGCAGACTGGTAGGACTAAAAGTATCTTCTGCCAGTAAGTACACAGCAGGGAAAGAAGCGGCCCTAGGCTCATTCACACCTTTAGCCTCCCACTTGGGAAACATCTTGCTCACCTGAAGCCCGGCTGGGAAGATGCACACACACATTCCTGACCTCAAACTTGGGCTCTTTCCATTACTTCCCATCCTACAGTCACAGCCCTTAGGCATGAAGGACGACCGAGAAGAAGCCGCTCACAGGCCACAATGCAATAGAAGCTTTCTATTTGTGGATATGCGCATAGCCTGCCCTGTAAGAACTCCTGCCCCGGTAGCTTCTCTGTGCTTAACAGTTCCGAACATACCTCTCCAATGGCCCCGTGCTACACCAGCAAGGTCGTGGCATGTGGTCAAATTGCACTTAAGTACCATTACACACTTTTTCAGGGTCCCGCAGAGGCACTGTTTGACCCACCGGAGAAACCTATAGGTGTCCCCAGCAAGCCAAATAGCAGACCCCCCCCTGGACCGTTTCAGGTTGGAAAAATGGCACAGGGATGAATGCCGAACCCCTTGTCCACACGTGCCATGGCCCCAGTCAGAATCAGGCTCCCAGTGCACGGGCGCGGAAGAGAACGTGCAAGTCATGTCCAACTGCATGGTACGGACACCAGATCCGCCTTTTGTACTCCGTAATGTGTGGGAAAGGAAGCGGCAAGCAGAGGGGGACCAGGTTGCGGGCCCAAACGCCCACGTACCCTGAAATCTCCTCACACTGCAGGAAGCCGCAAGGATTCCCACCCGTCCCCCTTCCCCGGGGCCATGCCATCCAACTCCCTCCACCCCAGCCACACACCTGCTGTAATGGTTAGAGCTCCTGGCATGCCGCAAAGCAACTAGAAAAGGGTAGATTGACAGGGATGTGGAGGGAATGGAGTCCAGGTTGCACGTTGCAACCCTCTGTGATGCTGTTCCCCCACCCTGCAGGCCAGGCGGCCCGTGAGCTGAATCAAAGGCAGACAGGTGCACCTCTTGGCCGCACTTTGATGGGAGAAGCTGTGTCAGCTAACCACACAGCTATATATATATATATATATATATATATTGAAAAAGACCGCTCTCTAGGGTCTTGGGCTTTCCTACAGCACTTTACCCAAGACCTGCTTAAGTGAAGATCCTGGGGAATGAATACGTGCTCTGGCTCTGTCTATGGCTCATCCCCTCCTTCCTTCGTCTCAGGTCATATCACCAAAATGACTCAGGGACCAGATTTTCCCGGTCCAAAGTCAAATAGCAGGATCCTATGTGGAGCATAGAAGCGTGTGGGTCAGAGAAGTATTCCTCGGATGCAACAGATCCGGCAAAGTCAGTGCTCCGACGGTTTGGGGAGACCTCAGGTTGGAGCCAGGCAGTCTCCCCACCCCCAAGTCTCAAAGCTGATGAGGACGGAGGTGTCGTCACCTCTGTCTCCTCCGATAAACAGGTTTTGGTAAGGTTTCAAAAACTCGATTCACCAAGGTCATCAGGGATGACAAGAAAAAGCATGCACACCTCAAAGGCAACCACACTTTGACCATACCACTCTCGGCTCTCTTTAAATGTACAGCCCATGTCTGCGTAACATTTAAATGCCTTACGTTGGGGGATCTTTGGCTTGGCCCTGATCTCACATGAACGGGGGGAGCAGCATTCCCATTCCTTCCAGCCTGCCTTCTGTGCACCCCAAAGCAGGGTAAAGTGGGGGTGAGGTTGCCAGCTCCAGGTTGGGAAGGACCTGGAGATTCTGGGGGTGGAGCCTGGGGAGGGCGGGGTTTGGAGAGAGGCGGGACTTCAGTGGGGTATAATGCCATAGAGTCCACCTTCCGCAGCAGCCAGGTGAACTGATCTCTGTCGCCTGGAGATCAGTCGTGATAGTGGGAGATCTCCAGCCACCAGCGGGAGGTTGGCAACCCTACATGAGGAAGTCTCTAGAGGAAGGGGAAATCAGTGGAAACAGTCCGTATTCTAGAAGCTGAAAAAGAGTATAGGACCCAGACTTGAGGTTTTTCTCCTGTTTTTAGAAAGAGACTCCCCGGTCAGTATTTGAACGGGGTTCCACCTCCAAGCCCTCCCGATGCGTGGACCGGGGGCTACCAGCACCCAGCCACAGAGAGACACAAAGCAACATTCCCTTCCTCGACTTCCTCCGGTGCCCCGCCTCCAAGCATCAGAGCAAAAGAGAGGGCTTCTCTCTTCTGAACAGAAACTTCCGTTAAATATGAGAAACCAAAGAATATATCCCTTCACCCCCTGCCTTCCAGTTCTCGTTTTGTATCTTTCGTTCTTTTTATATATATTTTAGCCTGAAAGCCAAACTGATTCCTGTCCCTACCGGATGACTTTTTTTCATCTATGGGAAGAGGGGAGAAGGTATTAAAGCAAAAGGGGTGTGTGTGGGGGGGGAGACACACTTTTTCTAGGCGTACCATGACGTGTGTTTTGATGGTCTGTATATAGTATATATGTGCCCGAGTATTTTTTACCTGTAAATCTTTTTTTCTTTCTATCTCCCTCTCTGTCTCTTTTTGTTTCGTTTTGTTTTGTTTTTTTAGGGACAAAAGCACCACGGTCTTTTTTTGTTTCGTTTTGTTTTTTTAGGGACAAAAGCACCAATATAAAATAATTAAAAAGTATTTCCTCAAGAAAAAGGATGCTTCAACTGTTTCTTTAATATCTATCGCGAGAGAATTGTATCATCAAGGTCTGGCACCTGGATGCCCTCTGGCCCACTGCTGTGGCCTTTTGGGGCCCCCAACCCCCCATGTTTCTCATGATGCCGTTCTTATCTTACACTTCGATACCTGGGGGGGGGCAGGCAACCCATGTCCATTATTTTGATGAGAACCCCCCTTTTACTTAATTAGAAGATGATCAGATGCTGTCCCCAAAGATACCGTTTCCTGAGTCAAAGCACAACTTGAGCCTGGGGATCTGCGCTCACATACACAAGACTGCCTTATCCTGAATCAGACCAGCGGTCTATCCAAGGCAGGATTGTCTGTTCAGACTGGCAGCTGCTCCCCAGGGTGTCAGGCAGAGGTCTGTCACATGACCTACAGCCCTTTTAACTGGAGATGGGGGGGGGACCTCCTGCATGCCAAGCAGAGGCTCTTCCACTGAGCCACGCCCCCTTGGCCCCATCCCAGGAGGTGCAACTGAGCTGCAAAAAGTAGTTCATGGGGGGGAGGCGGAATACGGATGGGGTCAGCAGAGCTAAGCAAGGGGAGGGGTCAGCCGATCTCGTTTTCCTCCTGGCATTCCCTTGTTTCCAGGGAAGGCAACCAGCCTCCTTTGGGCCCCAAACCATCACCACCATAGCACCATAGCAAGTCGGCTAAACGGTAGGAAGAACTTCCTGACAGCCGAAGCAGTTCCTCAGCGTAACAGGCCTCCGTGGGAGAGGGGGCGGGCCCTCCTGCTTGGAGGTTTTTAAGCAGAGGCTAGCTGGCCACCTGACAGCCATGTCTGCATCGGTGAATTTAGGCAGATCGTGAGAAGGAGGGCAGGAAGGGGTGAGCCGGTGCTTGGCTCTCGTGGCCCTCTCTTACACGCCCCCCCCCCCGGGGAAATGCTGATCACCCCTTTGGGGTCAGGAAGGAATTTTCCTCCTTGCCAGTTTGGCCCGGGGATCCTGGAGGCCTTCCTGTCTTCCTCTGGGCAGAGACCAGGAGTCACTGGGGTGGTGGGTGGGAAGTAGCTGTGAATATCCTGCATTGTGCAGGAAGGGTTGGACTAGATGACCCTCGAAGCCCCTCCCAGCTCTGTGCTTCTAACCATCAGCGGCCTCACCGCTCTTTCCTTGGTTTCTTCTAACGATTAACCCAGTGGCTCTCAAACTGTAGGTTGGGACCCAGAAGTCGGTTAGGAGGCCAAGGATGGGGAAGAGGAACAGGGAAAACTGGAGATTCTGGGAGGCTCTCTGGCACGTTTGGGTTTGCCCCCTGCCGAAAGCGCAGGATGGCCATGAAACACAGCCGCTCACTCAATAATGCCATATATTTATTCATACTAAGCATGGAAACTGTTCGCAAGGGCTAGGGAGTAGCACGGATTTCCTTGTGAGTGAGTGCCTGTAACCTGCTGTGCTTTTAGAAGCGGGCTCCTGTTTCAAACAGTTTGAGAAGCACTGGACTAAACTGTTCTTACTCGCTGTGTCGTCGGAGGGAGGGCTCCAGACAGACTCATCCAGCAAGCTCCCTTGTGTGTGTGTGTGTGGGGGGGGTTTCTGCTGGTGAGTGGATCTGCTGACTGGGAACTCTCAGCAAAATGAATCCTGGTGACTATCTGTTCCCCACGTCAGACAGAACGTTCTGGGGAACTGAGAGTGGAGCAAGAGGTTGCAAGGGAAACTCGAGCTTCCTAGTTCGATGTCTCTCGTGTAACATTACAGAAGGCGCTTCAGGGTTGGATCCAGTCTAGATCGGCCGTTCCCACTGAGGCCTCTTCCTGCTGCAGGCCCCCCTTCCCCGCGTGTTGTTCCTCCTCGAGGGAGGTCACCTGTCCCTCCCCTCGCCCCCCCCCCAACAACATTTCAGGGAAATCAAAGGGCTGCAGAGGGGAGGAGGGAGGATCTGTGTTCTGCTGATGGAACATTTAGTGTGGATCCAACCCTAAGAGCCAAGAGGGGCTTTTGCACGGCACCATCAGGAGGCAGGGGCTTAACTCATCTCTTGTCTGCTGGTCCTGCGCTATAAATCCCCCACAGACACCCACATGGTTTATAAAGGTTACTTTCTCCTAAAAAGCAGAACAGAGCCTGCTGGAGGGGGTTGAATTTCCTGGAGGAAACTGGTGGGTGCAGAAGACGCCCCTTCCCACCTGCTGAGCCTCGGCAGACATCGAATCATAGAATGTTAGAGTTGGAAGGGACCTTGCAGGTCATCTAGACCAACCCCCTGCACTCTGCAGGAGCACAGCCGAAAGATAGCCCTGCATACCTACAACATACCCGAAAGATGGTCGTCCGGCCTCCGCTTGAAAACGTCCAGCGAAGGAGCATCCACCACCTCCCGAGGCAGACTGTTCCACTCCTCAACCACTCCTACAGTTAGGAAGTTTCTCCTGATATTTAGCCGGTAACATGCAGCTGGGTCGTCCAGCCCCTCCCCCCCCCAGGCTGTCTCAAGGGACTCCTGTTTTGGTACAGAAACTTGACAAGTGGAGCACTAAGCAGTGACTGGCCAGGACTTGGGGCAAAGTGCACAAGGTTGGCCTAGAAGGAGGCATCCTCAGAAGACGGAGGAGTTTTTGTTTTCAGTCCCAGCAAGACTTCAGGAGCGAGGGCATATGGGCATATGGGCATGATCTGCCTCAATGCTGCAGTTTTACCTCCCATCCCAAGACAGAAATAATACCTGTTAGCTTCAGCCCACTAAGAAGCTGGGCTGTACCCGTTTCTGCAAGGAGCTAGGACAGAGGTGGCCAACCACTTCTTTTACCGACAGCCACTTCTGAGTAATGGGGAAAAGAAAACAAGCTACTTCCCTGACCTCCATCCCCAACACCGTTACCAAGTTCTGTTGTGTCCTAGAAGCAAAGCAGGGAGGGACTTGGAAGAGCTAGAAATGAAGCTACCTGCTAAGCAGCACAGAGGAAAACCCTGTAAAATAAAAACTTAAGGGGGGGAAGAAAGGACAGAGCCTTTCCTTTTGCAATATTTTCCTGGGTCTTCTAGGAGGCATACAAGCTAACCGATAACTCACGAGCTACCTGTCGGAGGCCCCGGAAGTAAGAGCTACGGAAGGCACCAAAGCCCTGCCCCCAGATGGCTGGAAAATGGTTAACCGAGTGTAGACCATCCAGAGTCTGCTCAAACCTCTCCTGAAATGCCAAGGCTCCCGAGAAAAGCTAGGCACTGTGGCACTATAAAGAGACAACAGCTCTCTAAGGCAGAAATATGAATCTCGGCCATGACCAATAAAGCGTTTCAAAGTTGGCTTGACTTCTTTAGCACGGATGTGCCCTCAGGGCATGAGGGGTTGCTACCTAGAATTTTGCTGAATGGTTTCAAGACCACGACCATGAATCTGTGAACTGGTACGGAAGGGTATAAAAACCAGAGCAAGGCAGCCTGGCGTTATCAGGCTTTGGGAGAGAGATGAGGAGGGCTACGGAAGGCACCAAAGCCCTGCCCCCAGATGGCTGGAAAATGGTTAACCGAGTGTAGACCATCCAGAGTCTGCTCAAACCTCTCCTGAAATGCCAAGGCTCCCGAGAAAAGCTAGGCACTGTGGCACTGTAAAGAGACAACAGCTCTCTAAGGCAGAAATATGAATCTCGGCCATGACCAATAAACCGTTTCAAAGTTGGCTTGACTTCTTTAGCATGGCTGTGCCCTCACGGCATGAGGGGTCGCCACCTAGAGGGCACCCACTTTGCTGAATGGTTTCAAGGCTACGACCATGAATCTGTGAAATGGTACGGAAGGGTATATAAACCAGAGCAAGGCAGCCTGGCGTATCAGGCTTTGGGAGAGAGATGAGGAGGTGTAAAGCTGAATCCCTCAAGGCCTCCCAGACGCCCGAGTGATTTAGCGGAAGAGTCACTACTAGCGCCTCTGACCGCCAGTCTGGGCCAGGAGACGAAACAGGAGTCTGCCTTACACCCTCTCCTGAGCTCTGGGCAAGGAGGAGCGGCTTCCTGAGCTGCCCTGATGAACAGCAAGCTTGCAAAGAGCAACTTGCCTGGTCACCACTGGCAAGTAAAAACTGCCTGTAGGCAACCCACAAGAAAAGCTTCCGTGAACAGGGAGTGAATCGGCTCTCTTTTTGTTCCCAGGACGTTGATGAGTCGTCAACAATGAGCCTCAAGTACGTGTGGGCAAAGCATCTTGTGAGCTGGAAGATTTTGGGGGAACTTACTGGCAAGGCTGACGGAGGGTGCTGGGCGAAGGGGGTTCCGGGGGGCGGGCCCCTGTTCCCACCGTGTTGCTCAGCAATAGACTCCACACCCAAGGGACTGTGCAAGAACTGGCCCCATCCTGTCATACCTTCTGTGTCTTGCCTTAGGTGCACTTGAGGAAGCTGAAATAGATGGTGCTCAAGCCGGGGAGAACTGACAAAGTTGGAGAGCCCTCTTCTCTAGGGGGTCTCAGCTTCTAAGTTTGACTCAGGCTAAAGTTCCTGAAAGAGGACCCTCTGGCAGCCTAAAGCCCCCTCCGGTCCAACAGCACAAGTCACAGATGCTGAGCTGGGCCAGTAGCGACGGCACGGAGCCTGGTGGAGTCAATGCTTGCCCCAGGACGACAGTGTCTGTGATCCAGAGTGCCTCCAGGGTACAGTCGTCAGGGACAGAGGCAGGTCATTCAGTGCCTGAGGCCACAAAGATGCAAGGAAATTCAGTCAGGAGTAGCTCCACCACCTGGTTCTGGTACACCATGCCCTCCACCAGGCTGGCCACGTCACATTCATGTCGCATCAGCGTCGGTCCAAAGACGATGCCGATGTTCTGCGTGGTCATCCGATTGATATCCGAGTGCTCCATCACTCTGAAGGAAGCGGAGAGAACAGAAGAGAACAGAAGCATCTCCCTTTGCCAGCCTCAACATACCCCTAAGTTAACATACCCATACCACCTGTTTGGTGTTGTGGCTAAGAGCGCGGACTCTAATCTGGGAGAACCGGGTTTGATTCCCCACTCCTCCGCTTGCACCTGGCTGGCGTGACCTTGGGTCAGTCACAAGCTCTCTCAGAGCTGTTCTCTCAAGAGCAGTCCTCGAAAGAGCTCTCTCAGCCCCACCTACCTGGCAGGGTGTCTGTGGTGGGGAGGGGAAGGGAAAGGAGATTGTAAGGTGCTCTGAAACTCCTTCGGGTACTAAAGGGTGGGGTATAAATCCAATCTCTTCTGCTCTCGTCTTCTTCTTCTATCTATATATTTCTCAAGTGTGGACCCCATCTGTAAATATCTAAATCTGTGGAATGGGGCCACACCGACATTAAACAGATTTTTCTTCAAACTTAAGGGACTTCCCCCCAGGTTTGCAGAAAAATGGGACATCTTTAAAAAAAATACACTGGGGGGAGGGGGTTGTCTGCATGCACAGAATATGCACTTACCTTTCTCTGTTGGCAGCACTGCCACCGTCCCAGGAGGTGAAACTCCTTCGGGTACTAAAGGGTGGGGTATAAATCCAATCTCTTCTGCTCTCGTCTTCTTCTTCTATCTATATATTTCTCAAGTGTGGACCCCATCTGTAAATATCTAAATCTGTGGAATGGGGCCACACCGACATTAAACAGATTTTTCTTCAAACTTAAGGGACTTCCCCCCAGGTTTGCAGAAAAATGGGACATCTTTAAAAAAAATACACTGGGGGGGGGCGGGTTGTTTGCATGCACAGAATATGCACTTACCTTTCTCTGTTGGCAGCACTGCCACCGTCCCAGGAAGCTTCCCGGGCCCGGCTGCAGGGGCGCCAGTGTCCGGGGGGCTCTTTGGACTTGGCCACAGCAGCACGGGTGACCGGGAGGCTCTCCAGGCCCGAAGCAGCTCCCAGACTCCCCTGCTGCCATGGCCAGGCCTGGAGGTGTGCCTGGTGCAGCGACATGAAAGTGCTCAGGATGCAGAGCAGCTTCCTGACACTGCAGCTGCCGTGGCCAGTAAGGTACGGAGAGGGAGACAGCGA